AGTAAAATTGGAGAGTGTCAGCTGACGGAGCTGAGCTTGAGAAAAAGCTCTCTGAAGCAATGGATTCTATCAGCTAACCCCTCAGCACAGCATACACACCGTGAGATGAAGAATGTGTGAGCAGTGGCCGACTCTCATGAGCAGCTAACCCAGTATCACAGTCAGGGGCCATGTCCACCAAAGCCTTTTTTTCTGGGGCCATTGTATTTTTTTTATTATTTTTTGCTGCGTATTTAAGCTGTGCTACAAACGTCGGCAGTCTGACAAGGCACGGGGTGGGATTCCTGCACTAAGCACTGACGTTTTCTTTTTTCTGAGCGCCAAAGAGTTGAAAAATGTTCAACTTCAGGTAAAAACGCTGCTCTCGTCACTGTCACTTCAGCCGTTCAGTCACAGTGGAGGAGGGACAAACACTGCAAAGACATATGACCGAACTGCGATATTTGATGAGTTGGGATGAGAAGTTGTTGGTTTTCAGCTGGGAAAAAAATGCATTGGTGGACATGGGGCCCAACATACACACTCAGAACTGAAGAAAGACTGTCAGTAGCAGCTAACAGCAGCTAATATCAGCACAAATATAACATGCTAATCTTATTTGCACTAACCTATGATTTTTTTTTTACATTGTATAAATTAGCCTAGCAGCTAGCAGAGATTTCCTCTACCCATATGAAGCCAGGGACATCAGCAACATTTAACAAAGGTAATGTTACAAAATTTGGCTCCATTACAACTCACAAGGTTCACCAACAAAACAACTGTCTTATACTAAACACGTTTTCCATGCAAATACATATAGGGCGACCATATTTTGATTTCCAAAAAAGAGGACACTTGGCCCGGCCACGAGATAGCCTACTTAAATGATACTCGCAGTTTACTCAAAGATGCCTTATAATTTTAATATATTTAAAGTTTATATGTATGGATAGAAAATTCAGTTATATTACAAAATAATATCTCTCAAAGACAGAAATTCAGATAGGCCCCTACAGATAGGGGACACATACACACACTAGAATGTGGCTACCCGATCCGTGCCTAAGGGGTCCTGACGGTAAGTCTACCCGACAGGTCGGGCCGGGCTCGGTAAAAAATGTATAAATTGTATTCGGCTCGGGTCGGATTCGGTCAGCTTTCAGTGAAAATGTAGTGTAAAAATAAATAAAATCCTATTGTCTGTCCTGTTTATTGCTTGGGCACTGTTATTTACGTGACAACACCTGAACATAACACACACAGACACACATTGGCTGTTTGTTTCTACCTCTCCCCTCACTGGAAGCCTCGGACCTTTCGCCGCCAGCCTCCGCCTTGATTAAACGCTGAAATTTAAATAAAAGAGAGAGACAGGTTTTTCCTATTTTATCTTATTTTGTTATATTTCTCCCTCTCCTCTCGCTGGAAGCCTCAGACCTCCCGCCTCCCGCTCCCGTCTCAAACACGGAGGTCTCCCTCTCAGTGGAGCACCCACGGTGCACGCCCGGCCTGTTAAATAGCCTGTAACCATAACAACTATGTGACACAAACTCAGTGTTTTAGTAATTAAATAACGTCAGGCTCGGTTCGGTTTCGGACATAACAAAACAGAATGACTGTCGGGTTCGGACAGAAATATGCGGCCCGTGCCACACTCACACAACATGCTAGTGTTATTAGCACAAGTCTATGGCATTCTACATTGTAAATTAGCCTAGCAACTAGTGGAGATTAAATCACACACAAGACTTAAAATGCTATTTTGTGGCGGCTTTATTGCCTTCACAATGTATTGTTTCTTATCTGTGAAATAAAATTAAATGACAGCTTGGTTTCCACTGAGGGAAATGTTTCTTAGCTTACAAACACAGACAGGAGGTCATCACTGTGGTGTGCAGTTACATTTCTGGGGAGGTGCTTGTCAGGCTACAACATCCATTTGACGCAGAAGTATACATCCTGCTTTATCTATGTTGTGGTAGGGGAGGGGTCGTGTTAAGGACGGCTCCAGTGCGTCATCATGCTATGATTTTAGGCCCACCCAAAAGTCCTGGAAACAAAATGGTTATAACAGTGTAACAGTCTAACTCTTAAATACTTCAAAGTCTTTTGACAAGTTTTCAGCAAGTTTTACCTAACTGTTGATATGTTTAGACAGAAATCTTTTATTTTACTTTGCCTGAACTTAAATCAGTCTTTTCCCTCCCCCGAATTTCTCCAATTGTTATTTCCATCCTCCCTCTAAAAAAATCCATCCATCTTCTCCCTGAGGTGTACAAATAACTGAATCTCATCTATTTGTTAATTATCACATTGTGTTTTTTCAAGCAGTCTTCCACCCACTGCTCTTTCTGGCCATCAGAGTTTCTGGTCTCCTTGTAATTCCAGAGTAATGGAGACATATAATAATTAACAGACCAATTATTAAATGTAGTTTCTGCTGCAGCCATAAAAATAAAGCCCGATATTCTGTTTATGTCAAATACAATTTGTTCCTATAGTTTGTTTTGATCTAGATCGAAACTGAAGAAACTTAAGAGTTGCGTGTGCACTTCAGGTGCAAACATTTTTGTCTTAAGCATTTCTTGATTGCCAGTAATTTCCCCCTCACACTAACAGGACCTCATGGTTATACTGATACAGATGACTATCAGAGATGCTCACGACACATGAGTCAAACTTAACGATCGGTGGGGAAAGTCTCCTCTGCTGAAAGCCAGTTCCTGGACATGACTTGTAGTCACAGGAAATGAAGGGACAGTTATTCTGAAGAGTGTATGTGAAAGTGGAGGGTGAGAAAATAAACATCCACATTCAAAATAATCAAATGGCACTTATGATTGATTGCAACCTTTTAAAAATGGAACAAAAAACATAATTACTGCGTGGCATCTTCCCAAGGGAGATAGGGTGATTATCGTGCTCCATTACAGCCAATCACAGACAAATTGCATTGTAACGGTGATGGTTTGTGCGAGCACCATCTGCGTGCATAAAAGCGCCACACTTTTCCACTGTATTTGGTTTCAGTAATTTTCCTCTACGTCACAGCTGAGAATGTCATCCCAAATTAACTGTCTGCTTGGGTATTTTTGGAAAAGAAACGCACAGAGGAAAACCCTCAGAAAAAGCAGCTTGAATCTACACTTTTGTCCTCCCCAAGGTGACAATATCAGCATTTCTCCTTGAGGGGAAGTTGCGTCCGTGTGATTGGCTGATGCTGTTGGACCCAGGTGGTCTGTTCGTACTGGGATTGCCACGTGTCACTGAGACATGGTTTCCCAAAAGCACAGTCCTCTCTCGCCTTGTGAGATGTCAAGTGAGTAAAAGCTGAATGACAGCCCACTCATTCTCACGCACTCACTTCTCACGCTCACTTAAGTATTTCCATATTATGCTGCTTTATACATCTGCTCCACCACATTTTAGAGGGTAGTGCTTTAGTTTTCACTCTGTTGCATTTATTTGACAGCTATAGCTACCTTTAGGTTAAGGTTTTACATACGTAAAAGTAAAAAAACAATTGACTTTAAAAATTACTTTACAATTTTTTATTTTTGGCTTTACAAAAGGAAAAAAAAAAAAGATTTTATGAGTTGTTAGCAGTTCCACCAAAGAGAAATGTCCCGTCTAAACCTCTCAGATGGTTTGACGTCCTAAGGTAATATTGTCCAAAATCCAGGGGCAAAATTTATAAAGGTGACACAGAGGACATGTCCCCAGCACTTTTTCAAACCCCTCTACTTTTTACAGTCACTGGCCACTTTATTAGGTACACCTTGCTAGTGCCGTTTGGACCTCCTTTTGCCTTCAGAACTGCCTTAATTCTTCGTGTCATAGATTCAACAAGGTGCTGGAAACATTCCTCAGAGATTTTGGTCCATATTGACATGATAGCATCACACAATTGCTGCAGATTTGTCGAATGCACATCGATGATGAGAATCTCCTGTTCCACCATATCCCAAAGGTGCTCTATTGGACTGAGATCTGGTGACTGTGGAGGCCACTGGAGTACAGTGAACTCATTGTCATGTTCAGAAACCAATTTGAGATGATTCGAGCTTTGTGACATGGTGCGTTATCCTGCTGGAAGTAGCCATCAGAAGATGGGTACACTGTGGTCATAAAGGGATGGACACGGTCAGCAACAATACTCAGGTAGGCTGTGACGTTTAAACGAAAATATTGGCATGCAACCTCGTTCTGTGGATGATAGATGACATTCAGACTTCCAACTGTGTTGGTGATGAGGAAGTACAATGAGAGGTGGACAGAGCAGTGAGTGACAACAGCCTCGCCCACATTTAAGAGTACTATCTGCAGTGGAAACACTAAACGGACCTAGGGTCTAAGTACCATGTCTGAAGGTTTACTTTTGGTTCTAAAGGTTCTATAGTTAGTGTTTGGTGAAAAAGGGGCTTCAGACACCAAGAGCTTGAGGAACTCCACAGAAAAAAAACATGATTTGATTTGGTATCAAAAACTTTTGTCATTTGGAGATTTCTGTAAGAATTGTTTTTTCAGTGATTGGATAGTGAGCACTTCTGTTCTGGAAGTTTCTGACAGTTATATTGGGGTGGCCATAGCCACTTTGGGCTCTAAGTTCTATGTACATTTGTGCTGGCTTTAAAAAGGCACCACAGCCTCTGAAAGGCAGTAACGCAGATTGTCAGCAGTCCTATGGGTCTCTCAGGGTTTTTAACAATCAAAGAATGTGATATATATTCATATATCAGTCAAAAACTTTTCTGCTCTGTCTTTTCTGAGTTCTTTTAATTTTGATACCTCAAAGTACATTTTGCTAATAATACTTCTGTACTTAAGCAGGATTTTGAATGCAGTACTTTTACAATGTTGTATTCATACTTAAGCAAAGGATCTGATTTCTTCCACCACTTCACATGCACACATGCCCAAGCATACAAACATTACATATTGCCATAGTGTGTTAAAACAGCATGTGCATCCAGTGAATAATAAGTGTTCCAGTTTCCAGATGAAATAGTGCTGTTTATTCACTGTATCTTCATTTAGCTTTTACATGATGTAGAAGTGATTTTTTTTTTTACCATGTAAAGGCTTATATTGTTAAAAAAACAGATCAGTGGTCAGAATTTTAAATTGTTGAAAACAAACAAACAAACAAACATTGTAAATATCAGGAAAGAAAAAAAAATCTAGCTTGAGAAGCATAAAGTATTGGGCTAAATGTTACAGACATTGTACAGTAAATATCTTATCACTGTGATCCTGTGCGTTTTTCCATGACTCTAGCTTTGCACCAACATGAAGGAAAGTGTTCCACCCTGGGGAGCACAGACTGACAGCAAGAGGGTCAGGGGACAAAAATGTTTCCTACTTAATGCACCATCAGGCTGTGACAACGCCTACAAAGACATTTATGAGATATTCAACTTTTGACATTTATATTAGAGCAGGGACTCTCTCAGCAAACAAAATAAATGACCATGAAGGATTTTTTGATGACAAAGGTGTCTTTTTAAAGGTTAATGCCACTCAGTTAATTGTCAGTAATGACCTGAACGTACTGTGCCCTCTATCACCATATAGACAAACTAGGGGAGAAGAGCTCTTACTTTCATGATCCCAAATGTGGAATAAAACACAGCTTCAAATATGATAAAAATAGATGACAATGACAACACAGTGGGATTTTTTCTTTTTTGTATTTTTTGTCACAAACATCACTCTAATATAAAAACAACTATAATTTGATGCTCGATGTGAGATCACAAAGTCATTGTTTAACAGCTCCAGGCTGAACGTTGGTCTTTTTATTTTATTTTTTTTTTTACCTTTTTTTCTTTTTAATCTGTGACAATATGACTGAGTGCTTACATACATAAATATTACATTCCCAATCCTATACAATGGGAAGTGCTAAAATTTTATCTATATTCAACTGATGGGACATTTGATAACATTTTCAAACGATTTAAGATTTACAGCCGGTTTTCTACAGACATCTACTTGGCTTTCTTCTTCTGCTCTTGGAAGAAGTCATTGCAGGCAACAGTCAGGGCGGCCACCAACACAACAAACTCATTGAAATCCACCTCGTTGTCTTTGTTAGAGTCCAAGTCATTCATGATTTTCTCCACCAGCATTGGATCCTTCTGAGACTGAAAAATGGAAAATAAAAACAGAATATTAGACCAACAAACAAGATGTTCTATAGCTTTTAGTCTTTTCATGGTTCTCCTGTATGTCTCTGACGTGTAAGCCGAGAGCGCTGACACTTCCCTCTTCAAGCAATTAAAAATACCTTTAAACACATAGATGTAGCTTATGATATTGGAATTATCAGTCTGTCCACATTGGATGAATAACAGCCCTGGAGTTATTTGATTGTTAATGGAGCTTCATATTGACTCAAGGCAAAAGCTGCCGTCCGTGTCCAGTGGAGAGCAGAGTGATGTTGCTGCTCAATGAGCCATGAGCTGCAGCTGATCACACCCAACATTTATTGCTTTTGCTCATTTCCTCCAGGATCCAGAAAGAAGACACGGCTTTCCTTTTACACCCCCTAACCTCTGAGGCACCACTGATCTTTACGTTGCACAACTTATTAAAGTCAACTAGTTTAAGCAAAGGTTGAAATTAAAATCCACTCCACACTGAGGGCAAAAACTCAGATGGGATTTAGGTTACTAGAAACATTTCCCCTCAATGCTGCTGCATTATTTTAATGTGGGTTTAATTTTATATTGGTCCAAAAGACTCAGAGCTACATTTGAACTTAGCTCATTGGGGCTGGGCAATTTGGAGAAAATCACATATGATATTTTTGACCAGATATATTATATTATATATATATATATTGATATTGCAACAATATTGTGGGGTTGACTATTGCTGCTTTAACAAAATACTTATACAATGAGATTTGTGATAAAATGTTGATAACCATCAGTAACGTAGATATAATTACTAAGTGGTAAATAATACAACAGCTAGAACAGTTGGTAACGGCCAATATACATGAGGCACTGATGCAAAGCGTCATGTTGGCGGAGAGGAGCAGCACTTTTTACCTGCTTAGCAGACTCAATCTTTGTGGCGTAGGGTTAGTGCCAGCTTCACTGTGTGTGTATTGAGTTTTACTAAGTGATAATGCAAATGGTTATGCAGGGTTTGAAGGTGTAACTGGTACTGAATGAATAAATGGGATCATTTTATCAACAGGATGCACTAATTTAATTGATTTATTTTAATGTGAAAAGTAAAATCATCCACAAGGTTGCTCTGCTGCTTCATACTGCCTCTGGTACAATGAGGTAATTATTTAAATCATTTTTAAACAGATTATATCTGTCTAAAAATGATCAACGTACAGTCACAAATTTGTGGGACAGAGTTGTCTCGCCTTTAAGCCGGCATCGGAGGTTGTACCTCCGAAACAACCGTTGCATAAGAGGCTCAGCTGGCAGGACCAGATCATACGCGACAACGGTGTGATAATTTGACAACATGTTACGTGTGCAACCCACTGCAGGAGATTTAGAAAGTAGCTGAATGTAGTTAGTGGCTAATTAAAAGAGGAAGAACAACAGCTGAAAATGTCCACAAATTGGGAAAACAATGAGGTCTTTACCCTCTGAGCAGAGGACAAAATCAACCACCATATAACAGGGACAGTGAATGATTGTTATTACCATGTTATTTTATTGTTATTGTTTAAAAGTGCTGCTATTATATGTCACACTGTTGTGTTACATGTTATGCCCATCACACTCCTTTTGCCTCTGCAATGCCAGCATGCTGTCTAAAATAACACATGGGGGTGGCATCATGCCGCTGTCATTTGGTCCTGTGTAAAAATGCAAAGGCGACATAAAGAGGGGACTTTGTTGTGGCCCTATAGCACAATATCAGTACAAATGGACGCACTTTGCTGTGGCAGATGAGTTCCGCCACAACCTTGTCCCATGTATTTTGGCCGTAAGTTCAGAAAATTACATCGCTTCACTGTAATACAGTCTTTCAAACCAAGAAAACGCCATGATTTGAAGATATCCAAAATCTAAGACGATATCTAGTCTCATATGATCACAGTCAATATATTTTCCAGCACTGTAGCTCGTGTGAAAAAAAATCCTGCATTTTTTATCAGTAAACAAATTCCTATGAGGAATTAAAAATTAATTATTAAAAATATTTTTTAAATTAGCGTTTACAAAGTCTGCCACAATACAATTTTAGTCTAATTGAAGTTAGGGGCTGCAATCAATATAAGACAGTTATCGGGTATTGTCTGATAGCTGATATCTGTCTCGTACCACTTTTCCACCAAAATTAGCATATCTCTTCAGGCTTGTACAGTATAACATGGAAAAACCTGTTAAAAATAGGCCATAGACCCCCTTTCCATTGCCAGTAGAGCAGAGCTGTGTACACGGCTCTGCAGCAGATGAGTAAAATAGAAAATAGGTGAGTAGAACAGTAGAAAGCTGCATGGAGGCCAGTGAAAACTTTACGACGGTTACCTCTCTTTATATGTCTCTTATTATATTCAGTCTCTCTTTCAAACTTGGTGCAGACAAATTTGGATTGATGACATCTCGCCGGTTAAGGGGCCAAAATTAACGTGTTCATGTGTGCTCTGTTTCCATCAATGCTGATTGGAGCTAGAACCAATAAATACTCATGTCTACTGCAGAGTCAGTGGGAAAGGGGCTACATTCAAATTCATTTTGCCATTTTCTACTTGGCACTAGGTCGCCATAACTGTGTAAATGTTTAGGAAGTAGGTGTGCTTGGACAGAAATGGTGCCACAAACCTGCTGGAAAATTTAAAAAAAGATCTATCTTTTTTTTTTTAGGATTTTTTTTGGCTTTCTTGCCTTTATTCGATAGAACGGTGGCAGCTAGATATTTAACATCAACTTTTAATGGTTTTCGTTAAAAGCAATGATTAAAAAATATAGAAAAATTATAAATAACAGAGCCCCAGACATGGCTGTCCTATCCTGCTGTGTGGAGTTTCAGTCTTTTTCATCTTTTTAATATTACCCTCTAACTTCTAAACTGAACACTATATATACAGTCATCTATAAAGCCTCGGTGTGGAAGTGTCTGTATTCTGTCAGAGGAAACTGAGGGTGAATGTTTGGATGGGGCTGCGTCTATACTCAGAGGTGACTACAGCCCGGGGGGATGTGATGACATCATGGGAGTGTCTATATTTGGAGGCGATATGGGCCACTGATGATGATGTGTGAGCACCTGAGGCTTCCCATCCGGATGAGGGAGGACAAGAAGTGAAAGGAAAGAAAGATTTCTGAAGGCATCAGAGGTTTGACTCTCAGGCCCCGGCCCATTTTGTTAACGTGTTGGTCTCTATCATTTGAAATCACAGGCTCGTACTCGCACTGCTATCACACTGACTCAGGGGCAGAGGCTTATCTGAAATGACCTCATCTATCTCCGTCTTCACATCCTTTATTTCACACAATGCTGTGAGTTGATGTGATGTGAGAGCCACCAGCAGTTACTCTCTGACAGCAAGAGAGCAATCAATGCGAAAACCATTTTCTTGGGTCAGGGTCAGAATGCTCTTCTTTAAACCATCTGAAAACATGCCTGTCTAATTTTACTTTTAGTGAGTCAGGCAACAGTAAATGTTAAAAAAATTCTCAGTTTGTGAATTCCTCTAATTACTATTGGTCATTATAGATCCATTGAGGTAATGGGGGAGATGTAAAGGTCACACTTTGGTGCACCAACATGTTCCCAATCAGGGCGGTTCTAGGGTGAGTGGAGATCCGCGGCTTTGTCCTGAATGAGTCAGGTATCTACGTATCTGTTAATAATGCATATATGAATAACCATTTATTATTATTAGCTCTCGCTTACTTTAACAATCATTACAATAATTTAAACAAAGTTATATTTTTTAAAACGTATAAGAAACTCGTCCAAGTTGGATATTCTGACTGAACTGTCATTTTATTCCACTTTAGTGAGATACTTCAGGCTGCGTTTCTTATGGAAAAATAAATTCAACAGGAAAAATCAACATAATCTAAAAAGGATTTTAAAAAGTAAAAAAGTCATAATTTCATGGCAAACATAACAAAATGCTTCATCTTTCTTTAAACAAATATTACAGCCACTCTGTATTTGATGGCCTGACTGTCAGGACATAAAGCCCTAAAGTCCACAGGAAAGTCTTCCTGAAGACAGTGGCAGATCTTTCAATTGGTGATGTCAGCAGCCAGCTAGGGTGCCATACAGAGGGCTAACCCTAACCTTTATCCTAACCTAAGGGTGCAGAATGTGCAAGGTCTGGCACTGTCTGCGGGTGCTCCACTGGCAGGGGCTGAGCTAAAAGACTACAGCAGGGAGGAAGGAGGGACCCTGTTTTCTGCTCCTTCTGCTTGTTGCTCTGACAATTTTCTTTAAAACACATTGGTTCCTGCTGAGGAACCAATCTGAAAATTCTGCTTCATGATGTAAAATTTTCTATTTGGATAGTCAACAAACTAAACCAACAGCAGTGCAATTTTAACGTTGAAATATGTACTTTACCGTGAGGAAGTCAGTGAGCTCACTGTTGAGGAGTTCTTTTAACTCGCCCTTGTTGAGCTTGTATTTGTCTCCGTCGTTTCCAGAGTAGTTGTAGAAAACTGTTATCAGCGCATCCATTGCACCCTCGAGCTGGCTTGGCATTCTGCTGGAAGGATGAGAGCTCTTGCAGCTTCCTGACAATGGAAATGTTTCATGATTTACATACTCAATGAATTAAAACTAAGAGTAAGAAAAAGAATCTTGTCGCTGGGTGAAGTGTTCTTACCTGGTTAGAGTTAGAATCCCAAATGTGATGAGAGAAGCTGCAACACAGCTTGTTTATTAGGAAATGAGGGGACGCTAAGTGAGCCTTCCTCTATTTTTGTGACGATAATTAATTCCACAGGTGAGATGCCCATGGTAACTGTCTTTCTTTCCAGGTTTTAATCAAGGCTCTTAAGTGGAAAACAAAACATGTACCTGTGTAACCCTGGAGCCCCCAGGGGAGTTCATCAGATCCTGGGCCATGCGTGGATCTTTACATGTGTCTGCATCATGCACCATCCCTGAAGTGACTCCAGCACTCTACAATACTTCACAAACGATGATGGGTTAAGACCTGTTACATTCATTTTTAAGGAAACAATCTAATAGTTTAATGTGTTCCTAACAATGCTAAAGGAACATTTGTTGGATTTATATCTGTCTTTTAATGAGTAATGCCCTGTGTTGCTATGGCCCTGATGTCTTCTTCAGCAAAAGTTAATGGGAATGAGCACAAGGGAAATATTATGTGAAATAAATGTCACATCACGGACGCTGTGCTTCCAGTTTTGTTGTGCTCAAAGACAGAACACGGGCAGCTATGGGAAAGGGGGTTAGCAGTCATTTACTATCTGGAAGGTCGGTGGTTCGATCCCTGAGCCCTAGTCTACATGTTGAAGTATCGTTGATAATGAATCCCTAACTGTTCCTGATGGCTTATCTAATGAGTAGGTGGCACCATGTATGGTAACCCCAGGCACCAGTGTATGAATGTGTGCACATGTCAACCTGCACACTTTTTCCAACCAACCAACTGACAGAGTGAGCTATAAAGCTGCTGGTCACAACTAATCTCACTATATAATGACGAAAACTCTGTCTGTGTGTGTGTCTGTTCCACATTTTTCTCCTCACTGACTTGGTCAATCCATGTGAAATTTGGCACAGTGGTAGAGGGTCATGGGAGGATGCGATTGAAGCAATATTACATCAATTGGCCAAAGGGAGGGCTATAGCAACTGACTGAAATTGCAAACTTTGAATGGTCATATCTCATGCCCCGTATGTCATAGAGACATGAAACTTTGCACAGAGATGCCTCTCCTCACAAGGAACAAATTTGCCTCAAAACCCCCTAACTTCCGGTTATATAGATTTTCCGCCATTTTGAATTTTTTGAAAAACACTTAAAATCGATCTCTTCCTAGGAAGTTTGACCGATCTGCGTGAAACTCGGTGAATATAATCTAGGGACCAATATCTAAAGTTCCCTCTTGGCAAAAGTTGGAAAACTTACTAAAACTGAGCTTCTATAATGCAATGAATATTGCGGAGGGCGTGGCTCATCACATAAAGGTGTATAACATCTCAAGGGTTTCACCGATCACCACGCAACTTTGTAGGCATATGACCACATATAATCTGAGGGGACCCCTCCATTATTGATCCCATCAAACAAAATGGGGGTGCTAGAGAGCTAATTTCTTATCTAGGCCTAACCGCCATATCGATTTTTAAACTTGGCAGATATGTAGAACAGGACGGCTCAAGGTGACTGGAGAAATTTAACTCTAATTGGCAACTGGGTGGCGCTATCCACCTTATTTTTCACGGAAACACGGAGGCAAAACAGAACGCAGCCAGCTTCCGTTTTTTTGTATGACACTTCCGGTCCAGCACTCTTACCACTGTGTAAATGGGAATAGCCTTGTTGTTTACCTTGCTGAATTTAGCTATATATATGTATATATCACATTTTTCACGTCACTGTATCACCGTTTAGACTAATCTGATGTTTGTAAAGTCTATAAACACAATGACTGAACAAACATTAGTATTTTCTCTGTGTGTAATTAATAACATGGTTATCGTAGATTAGCTGGGCTAACCATTAGCTGTTAGCCGTTAGCCGTGTCTGTAATAACTCACTAAACTCACAAAGTGGCCCGTGAAAAAAATATTTTTTCCAGTGAATGTCTTAGTTACGACATGATTGAGCTAATTGGAGTAGTTTCATGTCGTATCCGACAACGGGAGGCTTTTAACGGATGACGATCCTGATGTTAGCTTTGCTGCTAGTGTTAACGTTAGCTGTCCCTGTCAGCTGCAGCCACTGATGCTTTCTAGACATCGTGATTTCCCAAAACTGAATAAATACCACACATAGCAACACAAAACTGCTTTGCTAGCTCAATCATGTTGTAACGGCTGGATGGTTGATGCGTATATGCTGATTCAGGTACTATCAGAGTCGATCCGCGCATCACTATGGCTTAATGATCAACTCAGTCAATTAAAACAACCCGTCCTGTGTTAGGAGTGTATGTCGCTGACAGAGAGAAAGAAAGAAAAGGGAAAAAAAGATAGAAAATCAGCGTATACCTCACATATTTATTTCTCACAGTTGCGCACACGTTTGGCTGGCATGCAGAAGCACCGTCTGTGTGTCGAGGGTGCGAGCTGCAGCTTCAGCTGCTCAGGTAGAGAGGCTGTGTAGCCCGGTGTGTTTTTTTCACTGATTCGGTTCTGCAGGTTCTCTGCTGGTACACTGGAGATGGGGATCAAGCAGTTTGTCGCACTCGGGATAGATGCTTTTTTGGTTCATAGTTTATGATTGACGTGCGATTTATTTGCGTTTAGAGGGAATAAATTTCTGTTATAACGGAAACGTGGGCACAGTTAACTAACTAACTAACTAACTGATTGACTAACATAAACAAAAGAAAATTGAAAAAAAATTAGCTTGCACCATTAGCTCCGGTAAGGGAAAGCATGAGGGAAAGCAGCTGACCGGAAGTCACACACAAAAAAATGGAAGTTGATCACTATTTACTTCCGTGTTTGAAAATAAGGTGGATAACAACAGAAAAATGCTTAAAAATGGCTAAAATGGGACCGATCGCTGTGGCTCCCCCTGTGGCCGAATGTTTGTTTTTTTTTCTAATTGTTGGTATGACTAAGTCATGGTATGGTATGCTGTACATAATCAGGGAAACTGTCAGTGTGTCATTCTGTCAGTCAGTCATTCTGTCTGTCCCACGTTTTTCTACTCACTGACGTGATCAATCTATGTGAAACTGCACATAGGCATTGAGGATTGGCATAGGTAGAAGGTGACAAAGCTACCAATGGGTATGGACTAGTAAAATAATATAATCAGGACAGGAATTTTTGAAATCTTATTGAGTCAAGTTACTAACATGTGAGAGGTGATTGCCAAGGAACTTTAGGATGGTAGCCTACATGTGAAGATTTTAAAGGACCAATAAGCAAAATTCATAATTTCTAGATTGAAGGAATTAAAAAATTGCTATGTGAAGAACTAGAGGTGTAATTTCATCTGGAGTTAGCCTCCGCTAGCTTCCCAGCTAACGTTAGCCCTGGCTCTCCGTTTGGATCCAACCGGAGCACCGAGCCCTGGTTTGTTATTCAGGTTAATGTGGGAAGAAGCAGCGGGTATATCGGGCAGCTGAGTGAAGTGGAGCCTGCGGAAGAAACACTGGGACCATCTGGATGTAATAGTCTGTGGAGATGCTGCAGCTGCACAGACGAGGCGAGTGGGGTGGGGTGTGGAGAGCAGAGGTAGAGGGAGGTGTGGCTCATGACACACTTTGTTTTGGTCTACAGGCAGTGCACAACAACAAACCTAGCGGTGAAACAATTTCGCTTTTTGCCCCTTTAACCCTATGGGCCCTAGGCGTTTTTGGGGTATTTTTACTGCCTTTACTTTTAAGCTCATATCACAGTCATTATAAAGGCTAGATATACATGCTATATCTTGTTTTTTTCAGGTCAATCAGGGCTAACCAGATTTGCCATCATTTCATGTCCTTCTATGTGCCTGTATTTTATATTAATTTTTATATCAATGAAAAAAACAAATCTGTGTGACTAAATTCTTACATTTCTACATGTATCTCACCATAGCAAGTTGGAAGAAGACATATTCTGCCATATATGAAGAGGGGAGACTCTCTGGAATCTGGCAATATAAGAACCATGATGCTGGGACATTCTGTCACTTCACAGCTGTCCAAAACATGTGGTTTGTGCCAGGCTGAAAATGATTGCCAGTATTTTTTCATTATTGCAAGAAATTCCATTGACTCATTCACAAGTCAAAAATGTGTTTTATCTGAAAGAAACATGCAATATTTACATCTAAGATAATAGAAAAATAGTCAACCAAGTGCAATGATGTCCTCCAAGATAATATTTGCCACTTTGTTTGCAGTAAACAAAGTTTGTTGTTGTTTTTCAGTTTCAGTTATATATTGAGGGGGCATTTTGGGCATTGGGGGGGCACATGTCCCCCTCAATGTATATGGTGACTACAGACCCTGTCAGCATGCATAATTAGGCTTCAGTTGTCTGGGTGCGCAAAGGTGAAGTGGCTGGTCTTGTCATACAAAGTTTGATGGAGTGTCAACTGGACAATATGGAGATATTTGCATCTTGAAAGCTGGACTACAAATGTGGATAGACAGGGAGAAACACACACAAGCCTAAGACGTGGTAAGATAAGATATTCCTCACTATATGAAGTGACTGATAACAAGATCTGTATAATGGATTGTAAAGAAATTCATCAGGTTTTTATTTTTAGACAATCAATCTGTATTTATAGCATGATGGGATGACAGTACAATGATGTGTGTGGTATCACTGGAAAGCTCTGCTCCTGCGCTTTCGTGTGATATGCGTGGCATTTCTGTACGAGCCTGCATTCGCGAGAAATCCATCCAACAGTAATGTGTGTGCAGAGCTGTATGAAAGCTCTGTTATTCATGATTTTAGTGTAACTTTATCATTTTTTTTCGCTATGAAAACATTGGACTACCGACAAGTGGTCTTGGTCTTGTCGGAAAGCTACAATTTTGCTGTTTCACGTGATATGCGTGGCTTCTCACTATGACACACAGTCGCAGAGAAAATCAATAGAGAAGAACAGGTGTGAATTTGGACGCACAATGCCTCATTCGGGCCCATAGGGTTAAGTTTAAACAGTTTCTGCGTCTTAAGATTCCTCAAATTTAATACAGAAGCTGTGGCATTTCCAGAAACAACTCATTTACTTCTCTCAACATCAGTCTGGTCGTAACTAGGGGT